TTCTTTCTATCTATCTATCTATCTATCTATCTATCTTTTTCTTTCTTTCTTTCTTTCTTTCTTTCTATCTATCTCTTTCTTTCATTCATTCTTTCTTTCTTTCTTTTTTCTATCTATCTATCTATCTATCTATCTATCTATCTATCTATCTCTTTCTTTCATTCTTTCTATCTATCTCCTTCTATCTTTCTATCTATCTCTTTCTATCTATCTCTTTCTTTCTTTCTTTCTTTCTATCTATCTGTCTCTTTCTTTCTATCTATCTATCTATCTATCTATCTATCTATCTATCTATCTCTTTCTTTCATTCTTTCTATCTATCTCCTTCTATCTTTCTATCTATCTCTTTCTATCTATCTCTTTCTTTCTTTCTCTATCTATCTTTCTTTCTTTCTTTCTATCTATCTATCTATCTATCTATCTATCTATCTATCATAATTTAATCTCTCATTTTTTCACTTTAAATCTTCTAGTTTAAAAAAAAAAGTACTTCCTTTTTCATAGTTGAAAAATAAGTGTTCTATAAATAAATAAGTGTGATTTCCCGAGAACAATAAGGCATCACATCTGCTGAGGAATGTTTGGGTATTTTGGAGTGTACAGTGAGAGTTCGTGTGATTGCCCGAGTGATCTGTCACTCACATCGCGAGGATGAAACAGAGAAAAAAATAAAATAAATAGTTACAAGATGGCGACCAACAACTGCCTGAACACTGGAAAACAATAGAGACAGCGCAGTAGGGCAGAGTTTATTTATTTACCGTTTGCCTTTTCTTTTTCATGTCGAGTCAAACCGGGGGACAGTAGTTGGTTGTGTGTACTTTAAGACTTTTGAAGCAGGTTGGGAAGAAAGTGAGTTTATAATGCTTTGTTTGACGGCTAGTTAGCAGGCAGGCTAAGCTACATCCGTAGCTGTAATGTAACTGTGAGGATCAGCTGTTAGCCGCACTGCTACTTTAAAAGTTACTTTTACTAGTAAAACTCACTCGTAACTCTCAGAGTTGGTGTTTTGGGGCTGAATGGATGTAATGTATGTGCTTTTATCCATCACTTTCTAACCTTTCATCGATAGGTTTTATTTCAAGTGCGTCTTTTGTCAACTTCAACTGTGAGGCGAAAAAATTGCTCGTTTATTTTTAATCTGTTGCTAAAAAGTTTCGCGACAAGAGAGAAAAATCGATTTAATGACGTGTCGTATCGCGTATATAAACGGGAGGTGAATATTTAAGAGTTTTAAGTTTTCAAAAAGAGATTCCTTAAGTTTTGACTCTTAAACTTCTCTAAATTATATACATGTCTAAACAAATGTAATTTTTAAGATGCAAAAGTTATTAATGTTAGGCAACGCTTTCATTCATAAAATCGTAGTTTTTACTTCATTCTGGTTTGTGTCAGGACTCCCGGCTTGAATGCAGTTATATAAGCAAGATTGTTCAGTGATTTCTGTGCGTTCGTTTGTGTCGTTTAGTTAAAAGGAAACTTTTGAGTTTTTACGTTTGGACTCTTTTCTGAATATAAGCGCACAAATCTGAACTATGTGCCATTTCTTTTGTTGTACAAGGAGGCATAGTGATAAAAATGGAGGCAGTTGAGTGTGTTTTGTAAAGACACACACACACGCACGCACGCTCGGAAACAGCACGATCAGTCCTGTGAGTTGTGCTGGACTCTGTAGACTCGAGTGACTTTATAAACGCGGTTCTTCTGGATGATGGCGGATTTCGTGGTGCCGCGGCACAGCGCGGTGATGGAGCGGCTGCGGCGGCGCATCGAGCTCTTCCGGCGGCATCACACCGGCTGTGAGAACCGCTATGACAGCACGGCCATGGAGCGGCTGGAGATGGACAGACAGCAGACGTTCGCGCTGCATCAGCGCTGCCTGCAGACCAAGGCCAAGCGCCCAAACAAGCACCGGCAGCCGGCGGCGGCGAGCGCGGACCCCGCGGGGCAGAGAGGCACGGGCGGCGGCGGGGGAACCGGCGCGGAGCTCGCGGACGGAGCGAGCGGGACAGCCGGGGAGCAGAGCAGAAACAGCACGCTGATCGCGGTGAGTCTATGGGAAACAAGTCACGCCTGAGAGATTGTAGGTTCAAACCTCACGTGTGATGATTTAAAAACCGTTAGGCTACCATTGCGCTTACTATTCCAGGAGGACTTGCGAGTTACTTTGGATCTCCGGTTACACTCTATTTTAAGGTGCCCTTGTTACAGTGTAGTTATACATTCTAAGTACTGAGTAGTATTAATTAACTACATGTACTTAGTATATGGTTAGGGTTTGGCTTAGGGCTACTTGCATGTAATTATGCATAATTTATTGTTATTATAATAGTAAGTACATGTAACGTGTAACAAGGACACCTTAAAATAAAGTGTTACCGGATCTCCTAAAAGACAATAGGGAAGTAGACGGTAGTCTAGAAACCTGAAAATGCAGTAAGGTGGTTGAATGCACGTGCTGATCTCTGAGCATAGGTAAGTTTGAGGTGCTTCGGCAAGGTGTGTGTGTGTGTGTGT